ACGCGCTCGCCCCGCGCGAGACATTCAGCGCGTTCAGAACTGCACTTAGCCAGACACTAGGCGCAGTTCTGCACGCGCAGGTTTCGCCGGAGACATCCCCACAAAACGGAGCACTTATAGAACTACACCTAGCCAGCTGGGCGGGGCGCACGTCGGGCGCCGCCGTTGGCGCACCCAAGGCGCACCGCGCCCCCGCCGCTAAGCGCCGTTCTGCACGCGCCCCCTGTTCGCGAAGCATCGGCTGCCCGCGCCGCCGATCGCCGAGGCCCCGCCCCCTGGGCCGCTTCCCACCAACATCCCACATCCCCTGGCTCAGCGAAGCCAGCCGTACGCTTGGGGGCCTCGACCTCGCGCAGCCCGCTTCCCTCCCCCGCCTGTGCCCCCGCGGCAAATTCGCGATCCGATCCCCCGCGCTTTCGAATTCTTCTTCGTGCTGGATTCCCCGCCCGAGGGTGAAACGCTCGTTCGCGCTGCGATTTGTCTTGCGGCTGCCGCCAAGCATCGCCGTGAAACGTGGCGATTTCTTCCACGCATGGCACGCGACGTCGTCGGCGCGACCATCGCCTTCCATCGCGGGTCGCGAGGCGGCGCGCGTCCACCCAGACCGACCGACGCGCCAAATCTAAGTATGATAGCAACCTTTGGCCCCAGCAACAAGTTGCAGTTTTGCTGCGTGTAGTCGTAGATGTGTTCGACGTCGGCGGAGCTCCCAGCGGGGCCACGAAACGCTGTGCTGGACGGGCGGAAACGCCACACTGAGCGTGCGGGGCGCATGCGGGCGGCCCCGCTGGGGGTTTCGGTGGAACTCCTTATGGGGCCACGAAACATTATTATGGGCGGGTGGGAAAATTCAAACTTTGGCGTGTGAGGCGCACGCAGGCGGTCCCACTGGGGGCTTCGGTGGAGCTCCCCATGGGGCAACGAAGCGTTGTACTGTGCAGATGGAAATGCCAAATTTGACTTTCGGGGCGCATGCGGTCCCACTGGGGGCTTCGGTGGAGCCCCCTTATGGGGCCACGAAGCGCTGTGCTGGATAGGCGCGAGTGCCAAATTGAATACGTGGGACGCATGCGGGCGGTCCCACTGGGGGCTTCGGTGGAGCCCCCATATGCGGCCACGAAACGCTGTACCGGGTGGGTGACACACCAAATTAGGTATGTGGGACGCACGCGGGCGGTCCCACTGGGGGCTTCGGTGGAGCTCCCCATGGGGCCGCGAAGCGCTGCACTGGGCAAGTGAGAGTGCCAAATTTGGTTTTTGCGACGCATGCGGGCGGTAGCACTGGGGCTTTCGGTGGAGCTCCCTCTGGGGCCACGAAACGCTGTACGGGGTGGGTGAAAGTGACAAATCACATCGTCGGCACGCACGCGGACGGCCCCACTGGGAGCTTCGGTGGAGCTCCCGATGAGGCCATGTAGCGCTGTGCTGGGTGGGTGAAATGCCACATTGCGTTTTCGGTACGCATGCGGACGGTAGCACTGGGGTCTTCGGCGGAGCTCCCTATGGTGCCAGGAAGCGCTGTAGTGGGTGGGTGAAAATGCCAAATTGTGTTTTCGGGGCGCATGCGGACGGTCCCACTGGGGGCTTCGGTGGAGCTCCCTATGAGGCCACGAAGCGATGTATTGTGCTGGTGGAAATGCCAAGCTGCGCGTTCAGGGCGCTTGCGGACGGCGGCACTGGGGCCTTCGGCGGAGCTCCCCATGGGGCCACGAAGCGCTGTACTGGATGGGTGAAATGCCAAATTGGGCTTTCGAAGCGCGCGCGGACGGTCCCGCTGGGGTCGTCGGCGGGGCCCACTATGGGGCCACGAAGCGTGGTACTGGGTGTGCGGGACGCACGCGGACGGCAGCATTGGGACCTTCGGTGGGGTTCCCTATGGGGCCACGAAACGTTGCATTGGGTGCGCAGGGCGCAGGCGGACGGTGGCGCTGCGACCTTCGGCGGGGCCCCTTGGGGGGCGACGAAACGTTGCACTGGGTCGGTGACGCGCAGGGAGGAGGGCGGAGGGGTCCACGAAACGCTGCGCCGGGTGGGGGTGGGGGCGCATGCGGACGGCTGCACTGGGACCTTCGTGGGGGCCCATATGGGGCCGCGAAGCGTTGCGCCAGGTGGGCGGAACGCAGGGGGGGGCAGGGCGGGGGCACGAAATGCTGCATTGGGTGGGGGGGGGCGCATGCGGACGGTAGCATTGGGACCTTCGGCGGGCTCCGCACAGGGCAGCGGGACGCTGCGTTGGGTGGGTGGAACGCAGGAAGGAGGGAGGAGGGGGCCACGAAGCGTTGCATTGGGTGGGGGGGGCGCACGCGGACGGCAGCGCTCAGACCGTCGGCGAGGCCCCCACGGGGCCACGAAACGCTGCATTGGGCGGGCGAAACGCAGGGGGGGGTAGGAGGGGGAGGAGGGGGAGGGGGAGGAGGGGGAGAACGCGGGGACCGTCTCTTCAAAACGAGGACCCATGGCTTGGGGGAAAAATTACGTGGGCGCGTTTCATCATGTGCATTCTGGGTTTGAGGAATGCGAAGAAAGCGCCCTTGAGCAAACCAGAAGAGGTATCAGCCAGACGCGAGATGCCGGTGCATCGGCATCGCTCGAAGGCCTGCGATCAGCGACGCGTGCATGGAGAATATTCTGGGGGAAACACTACGCCTTCGCATATATGGACCTGGCAGTTCGCACGCACGCTGGCGGATGGCATCTCTGGTCTGATGGCTTCGGGAAGTGAATTTACGACGGATGGTCTACCCTGTGGCGATGGCGCATCCTCGGTTGATTCCAGGCAGAGCCCCAGCGGCGATCGACCTTCCACTTGGACTGCCTGCCCACTTGGCTGCACCACCACCTCCTGGACCTCCTGCTCCGCATGCCCGTCGACGGGCAGCGGCAGGACTTGGCGCGATCAATTATTGTCCTGGATGTCGGGGGAGCTGGGCGAAGACACGCCCCTGTCGCAATCGGACCCCAGGGCAGTGCAAGCACCCGCTGATCGATGCCGAGGAAGCCTCATGTCCGGCCTGCAAGACGGGCAGGGTCCGGTTTGACCCTCGCCACGCCTTTGACGCCAATTGTCGCCTGGCCATGGATGATCCTCGGACCGTCGGCACTTCCGTCGCGGGAACGGCTCGCGCCCGCGATCTTCGAGCACCGGCCTCGCGAGCAGCGGGGGCGGGACATCGAGTTCGCCCGCGAGTCGGAGATGAAGAAGATATGCAGCCTCACCCCGAAGCGGCGCCTTCGGGTGGAGCTGGCGCTGCGCCTCCTGCAGGAGCCGATGCTGCCCCTGCTGAGGGCGCCGTCGCGCCAGCCGAGGGCGCCACCGCGTCGGCGGAAGGGGCGGGTTCACCGGTCCGAGCGGACGCCGAAGACGCAGTCGCACGACGACGACGACGACGACGTTTCCAGGACGCCGTCTCGCAGATTGATACCGGCGCGGATTGGGCCCAGTGGGGCGCGGGACGCGCTATCCAAGGACGACGATATGCTGCCCCTGGGATAGCGCAGCGCACGTTGCGACGCATGCATATCCACTGCGGCACGCGCCCGCTCAACGTCTGCGGGATCTTCTGTCAGCCGCGGGCTCGCCCAAGGAAGTGATCAATATGGCCCGGGATGCGTTCGACACTTGCACCGCGCGTCGCGAGCGGCAGCGTCGCCGCCACAAGTCGGTCGCGAGCCTCACCTGCGCAGCAACTTTCAACGAGGAGATACAGCTTGATCTCCTATTCTTGGACGATGGTACCGTGGTGCATCTCATTGATGCGCACTCGATGGGCCCAAGGCCTGTTCGTGAAGCTCACGCATGTTTGGCTTGGGGCCCATGGCACGCCAGAGTTCATTGTTTCTGATCAGGGAGGCGCCCTGGTCTCCGATGAGGGCGCGACATGGGCGGCGAAAGGTGGAGCTGCGACTCAAGCCGAAGGGAGCACATGCGCGCGCCATCGAGAGAAGGGTTGATTCGCTGCGCAGTCACTATCATCGGACGAGGGGCCAGGCGCAGGAAGAAGGCATGCGGGTGACCAAAGAACAGACGTTGGATGGATCACTTCTCGCGCTGAATGCCCTGCTGAGTGCACATTGCACTACTCCCTACGCAGCCTCGTTCGGAAGAGCGCCCAACATCTCGTTGGAGCTTGGCGGCGCGGGAGCCGAAGCAGATGATGAAGCTGGAAGTGGGCTATCACGGCACGCGCATCGAGTGCGAGAGCTGGCGCTGGGCAGCGTCACTCAGGGACGCGCCCAGAAGAGATTTCAATTTGCAGCATGGACGCGAACGCGACCAGCAGCACAGCTCGGCGACCAGCCGGGCGGTCAAGTCGATATTTTCAGAGATCCTTTTGAGCAAAGATGTTGCCGGCTGGCGCGGGCCCTGCAAGGTGGCGTCGATGGACCGAGCAGATGAAGGCATCATAGACGTTGGGTGGCAAGGACGGACACTGCCGCGTAGACCACGAAGTGCGCAGAGCGGTTAGTTGGATCACGACGCTGGCCGCGCGTGGAAAAAGGATACGCCAGGCCGCGCCAATTTTTGGCATATCACGTCGAGAGCACGGCGAAGGCTACGACGATGCTCTGGGGATACGAGATCGGACAAGATGGGCGCTGGAGACTCACCCGCGCCAGCAGATGCCTGCCGACGCACGGAGCCTTAAATGTCGCCGCTTGCGAATTTCAGCCGCACGGGGTCGCCGCGGTCAGACTCGGACTTGGCACGAAGCAGATACCCCCAGCTCGCGGACATCACGCATGCTTCATAGCATGGTGGCTGCCTGGGAAGACTGCCGGATATCACAATGTCAGTTGCAGTCCTCGGGAGAAGGCCATCGCTCTGCACCGACTGGGTCAAGATTCTGCTCGGACCTGTTGGGTGCAATTTTTCACGGTGGAAGAAATGACGGGGAAGATATTGAGCCAGTTGGACGCGCATCTCCTTCGCGTTGGCGGGCCGCAGAAAGTGCTGGACCCCCCCATGAGGAACGAGGCTCCGGAGCCGCAGCAGCCTCTAGGACAGGTGCGACTGCATTGAGATGATGATAACGGAGACCGCCCTGAAACATCGCCGGCCGTTTCCAGAAACCACGATCGACGCCGAATGCGAGGCGTCGGAGCTGGAGGCCCAGGGCGCAGCGCATCCCCGAGACCCCGATGCTGATCCTGAGCTCTTGAGACTTACATGGAGACCGATTTATCAGCCTTGCCAGATCGAGCCCGACGCGAATTCCGATGCGCAGGGCATATGGTCAGAGCCTTGGGACCCAGGATGATCAGGACAAGTTGAAAACGAGTTTGGTTTTTCCCGTTCACTATTGGACAGCTCTCGCCCCCCCGACGCCAAGTGCCGGCTGGGCTCCAGAGTCGCGGATTCTCTTCAAGTGGAGGAGGCGCTGGGCAAGCAGGAGACTCGAGCAGTCAGTGGAGTTGGAATTTCAGCGCGGAGATCTCGAAGCTCGCGGTCAGGATTGCGGACGATAATATGATGATGTCATATGAGGTCATGTCCGCCCATGCCGCGGACAAGAGTCATTGCGCGGCGTCGGCAGTAAGAAGGCCAGGAAATACCAAGACGGCGATCGAACGGGAAGCAGATGAGAAGAGGACCAGAAAAAGCATCGAGCGCAAGCGGAGAAGGCCACGCTGAAAGAACATGGTAGCTGGATGGAGCTTGGTCCGCCTAAGCAACGTCGTCGTCAAGGGTGCGCCGACTTGATGGACTCGAGATGGGTCGTCTGGCGGAAGTAGCAGACAGACGGAAAGTTGGCCATCGAGGCCCGTTCGTGCATCAAAGGCGCCAAGGATATGCAAGCAGGACTGCTCAGACACGCCCAGCGCGACAACGTCGAGGCAGAGTCAGCACATCGTGAATTTTATCGCAGGGGGGTCGTCCGCAGTGGGCACCGCGGTCTTGCGACGTGGGCAGCCCTTTTTTATAAAGAGGAGTCAACCTTTCAAGACGCGGCGGGCACGACGGGGGAGCCTCCGAAACAGCGCGGCTGGATTTGCCCAGGGGCGCGGCGAAGATTGCCAGGCAGTTCGAGCAGCTGGTGGATTACGACGCCACTCAACATTGCCTGGAAATGGCGCGCCCCGGTCTTGGCATGAAAGATGCGCCGAGGCCGTGGAATCTCAGGCTGAAGTAGGCGATGGCCAAGTTACCCTTGCTGTCGCCGGCTACGGACCCACAGTTTTTTATGCAAATGGGCAGGATCGAGACGCGAACCTCTTCCCAGGGAACTTGTACCTCAGACCGCCGAGATCGGCGAGTTCCGTGCATCCGATGTGGTTGTTCCGCAACCCGACGAACGCAATCGATGATCTCCAGATGGTACGCATCACGCACGCGGATGATCTCAAAGGCGCCTCCACGGAGAAGCTGGCGGACGCTTTCATGGGCGCTCTGGAAAAGGAATTTGGGAAGCCCACGCGACAGAAGCGGAAGTTTGAACAATGTGGCGCGATTCTGCGATGGATTGAGCGGCGTTCTCAAGATCATTATGCGACGCAGCATAGGCCCATGCCCGTTGAGGAAGCTCGTTGTGATGACGAACCTCTGGAGCAGCATGACCGGGCGTCTTCCTGGTCCCATCTCGGCGGGGTAGCGTGGATGCTGGCTGCACGGGCGGACGTGGCGGTGCGCGTTGGATATCTTCAACGACGTGCTCACGAACCGCGCTCGAAGCATGCGCGACACTTGAATTTGGTTGTACGCTGGATCCAGAGAAAGGAAAACCACCTGTACATCATGTTGCGTCTCTTCCGTGGAGCGCCGTGGGTTTCTTGGCAGTGCGTTTCGAGCCACCGAGCCTGATTGTCTAGCAGTGCGAGCGGCTACCATTGTGATTGCAGGGATCGACAACATGCCGACAGGAGGATAATGTGCAGTGGTGGAGTTCCATTCGCGAAAGCAACCCAGAGTTTGCCGATCGACATTCTCAGCAGAAGTGGCGAGCATGGACGATGGCATCAGCTTTGTTGACGCAGGTGATGACATGCGAGATGGGCCATGGACCCTTTGACCGCGAAGCAGATGCAAAAGTGCATGGACATGTTAAGCCTTCCTGCACATTTGCACTCGCGCACGGACAACAAGGGTTTGCTCTCAGCTCTTGGCGCAACAGAACTCAAGGCTCCAGAGGAGCCGCACTTGCTGCGCACGCTCAGGGCACCGAGAGGTCAAATGGAGGCATGTAGACTACACAAACTGTGGTGGGCTGACACTCGGGCCATAATCAGTGACGCATTGGCGAAAGGAGGCGTGGCTCGAGAACCCATCCTACGGTTGTGGGCAACTTCGATGATGGAAATGGTTGGAGATGAGCCGATCGCGCTGCGCCTGCGTCCCGCTCGTTGATGTTTGCACGGCGCGGGGATGTCTCTCCGCATTGTCATCCATCGCGGGGAAGGCACCCCTCATGCTGGCCTGATCTGTGCTCTGCTATTGGGCACCTTGCCTCATCGAGGTCGGCTGCCGTCTGCTGTGGGGTGCCGAGTGCGTCTTCAGCTAGTAGACTGGGGCTGAGTACTCCTACCCCGAGTTAGTGTAGGAGATTTCCGAAGAGGGCGGGGGGGGCGCTCTGCGCACATAGGCAGCACGGTGGACATAGCAGCAGGGCCCGCGAGCGACAACATTCGGCATCGCTCATTTTGGCTCAAGCCGGCTTGTGGATAGCCGAGGAAGTTATCGTGCAGACCCGACCCGTGGCGGCCCAGTCCCCATTCCCATTCTCATTACCACGACAAATATTATCCGACATGCCATATTCATATCCCTCTTTATTTTGGGCCTTGCACCTGATCAGTGCGGTGGCGAGCTCGAGCGCTTCACCGGCGGACGCGCCGTGCGCGAATTTCTTCAGGCGGATTAACGGTGAGGAGGATTGCTTGGAAATCAACTACAGACAGACAGGCAGACATACGTACACATACATACACATACATACACGCACATACACGCATACATACATGCATGCATACATGCATACATAACGTACATACCGTACATGCGTGCATGCAGGCATACATACATACAAACATACAGACATGCGTGCATGCATGCATACATACAAACACAAGTACAATGTGTGCATGCATGCATACATACACACATACATTATATATATATATATATATATGTGTGTGTGCATAAGAAAAACTTGCGGCGCATGTATCATTAGAAGGGGGGCCCCATGTTCAAGCTACCCGACATCGATCCAACATGGCCCACCATGCGCCCAAGACGGCCCCAACACGAGCCCTGGACGGCCCAAGACGGCCCCAAGATGCTCCAAGAGGGTCCTTTTTCTAAGGGGTTGAATGTACCCAAACCCTCGTTGTTCCATCCCTCTCCCGCCCACGCCTTCCCTTTCCCCCCTCTCCCTCCCACCAGATCCGACGTCGTAAACAAAATTCGACAGTAGCTCTCGACCCCGCTTTTCCGCGGGACTTCTTCGAGTTGGACCTGTCCTGGAGTTTCTTGGGCCCCCCAGGGGGCAAAACATGCGCGTCGCGCTCCTCTTTTTCACGGCGCCCTGGACGCGAGGGTGGCCCAGCAAAAACCCGTTCGAACTAGGTCCCCAGGCCCTTCGCAGGCTGCCTCCCGGCCAGGTTTCCGAGCCGCGTCCAGCCGCGAGCCGGAGAAGAGATGGGAGGGAGGAGAAAAGAAAAAGACGAGTAGGAAAAATAGGAGAAAGAGGAGTCACGACGACGACGACGACGACAACAACGACGATGACGACGACGACGACGACGACGACGACGACGGCGACGACGACTGCAATGGCGGCGAGTAAGACGACGGAGTCGACAGAGGCGACGGCGAGCTGTACGAGGTCGCGGGGGGGAGGGGGGGGCGCCGCGCAGGACGAGAAGCCGGCCTTCGACACCTCCGCCATGGAGGGCATGGATTTCAGCGGCATGTCGCCCAAGGAGACCCTTGGCGACGACGACGACGACGCCGACGGCGGCGGCGGCGGCGGCGACGATAATAAGGAGGGAGGAAGAAGAGGGATTGGAGGAAGAAGGCGCAAGAAGGAAGAGGAGAGAGAGAGAGGAGGAAGTGGAGGACGGGGGGAGTTAGGCGAAGGAGGACCAGCGCAAGCAGGAGGAGGAAAAGGGGAAGGAGAAGAAGCGTGAAAGGGAGGAGGAGGAGGCGGAGGAGGAGCAGGAGGAGGAAGAGGAGGAGGAGGAAGAGATGGAGGAGGAGGAGGAGGGGGAGGAAGAGGAGGAAGAGATGGAGGAGGAGGAGGAGGAGGAGGAGGTGGTGGGGGAGGCGTCACAAGAGAAGGGGGAGAGGGGACGGAGAAGGAGAAGGAGGACGTCGCCGACAGGGTGGAATGTTCGTTCTGTGGGCACTTGTCCTCTGATAAGACTTCGGCGCTACACCAGCTACACCAGTCGATCTGGAGCTGTCCAGTCTTGTAGGAAGATCGAAGCACATATGGACTACCGTCGCACGTGGAACGAGTTCGAGATAGGTTCCCGGCAGATCCGCTGTGCACTCTGCCTTGGCGCTTGACCCTGAGCGTCTTCTACCCCGCACCTTTCTGTGTTTCGAAGTCCAATGGGGTTTCCTTGGTGGCCCAGGCCAGCCATTGTTAAAAGCGCCGCCAGTTTTGGGCCACGGCTTTGGCCTCTATGGGCCGTCCCCGCGTGCCATCCGATGTGGCTTTTCGGCAGTATTCGTGAGCCCTCGTAGATCTGCTCTAGTGGCCGCTTTCGGAGCCTACCCTGGATTGCATCAGTGTGTTCCTGGGTCAGAGTCTATTGCATTATTAGCTTTTCTGTTTCATGCTGTGCCTGATCAGCATAGGCGCTACGAATATTTCGGTGGTTGCCAATGGGTGATAGATACATGGTCAATTCCTGAGGCCTGCTCTACTTCGGGGTGGGCCCCTCACGCGGGCATTTGGAGGCGCATCCATTAAGAGGCCAGGGATATAGGTGACGAGTTCATTGATGTGCGCAAGGTAAGAGCTCATCTTGATGTCGCTCGCGCAGGCGGCCTGGATGACCATAGGCAACACGCATGCTGATGCGTACGCTCGCCGTGGAGCGCGGCCGCCTCCCATAGATACTGCCACTTATGGAGCGCTTATCCCGCTCCCGTATAGTAGTTGAGCATGCGGGTATGTTTGTGGCTCACATGGCCGCTCGAGCCCTCGAGAAACTCGAGGGTATCCCCGGCCCTGCCCCTCCTCCCCCTCCCCCCTCCTCTCTCTCCCTGGTCTTCCCTCTGCAAGGTGT